GGAAACCCGTGGATTTTTCACAAAAACATTCTCCTTCTTACCTATAATCTGTACAGTACTATATTCGATCCTTGTGATATTGCACAAGTTCAAGATATATTAAAGATTTCATAAAAATGGTAAATTTTGCTTTTGAGCGGTATTAACAAGTATCAACGAGTATCGATACTCTCGTAGAATTACCAAATAGGTATCAATATTTTAATATAATTTGTGCATTAGCATCGATTCGGATTCGAATTCGCTACGTTTGACCGCTAGCGTGAATCAGGCTCGTTCGTTTATAAGACTCAAGAAACGAACCTGAGATCTCCTGATCGGTGTGCTTACAGCTCGTCGACGAGCAAATGTTGAATATACGAAACAGAAACAGTCCGTACTTCATCGAATGGATACCGAACAACATACAAACCGCGATGTGCGACATCGCACCGCGAGGACTCTCCATGAGCGCCAGCTTGATATCGAACACGACAGCGATACAGGAATCATTCAAAAAATTAGCGAACGCGTTCGACGATATGTTGAAGAAACGAGCGTACATGCATTGGTACACGGCCGAGGGAATGGACGAGACCGAATTTTCGGATTGCCGATCGATGGTGTACAATCTCATCTCGGAATACCAACGGCAGCAAGAAGCGGTAGCCGAAACTACGATCGTCGAGGATCTGGCGATGGTTGAGGACGAGAATTGATTCAGGGGGAATAATATGTGGGGGACGGGGAGAAGGAGAAATAATTGAAAAAAAAATCGTATATTTTTTGCAAGGAACAAACTTACGTTACATTGCGAAACGCGTGCCACGATTAATACGCATGCGATACAGTTGTCGTGAATAACAACACGAAATGAGTAGATTTTTGGCTCGGGTGCTTTGGTGTTTGGTGTTCGCAGAATTGGCGTTGCTACTTCGCTGTCCCTCGAGAAGCCGTAATATCTCGTTATTCCCTACTCAACCTTCGTGATCTTCTTACTTGTTAATATTCGCGAAGTAAGACACGGTGACCGATGTGGTGCTCGCGACCGTTTCATTTTCCATGGGGTTGCCGCAGTAAATGCCTCTCGGTCGTAAAATGCATTTCACGTACAAAAGTATAAAAAGAGAGAGAGAAAATTTTGTGAAAGATCTACCACCGGATCGAGACGAGAATTGCCGCCGGGGAAAGGGATGGAACGGAACGGACGGTGAGGGAAGGAGAAAAGGAAACGTCTCGTTCGGTGAAGAAATAGTTCATTCGAAAGGGGAAAGATCGGCGGTCGATTTACTCTTGGTCGCAAGTCTCAAAGTCGTCGGCGCACTCCTCGGCTTCGAAATCCTCCTCGGCGGTGGCTTCCTGGTATTGCTGGTATTCCGAAACTAAATCGTTCATGTTCGACTCAGCCTCGGTGAACTCCATCTCGTCCATGCCTTCGCCGGTGTACCAATGGAGGAACGCTTTCCTGCGGAACATGGCGGTGAACTGCTCGGAGATTCGTTTGAACAGTTCCTGAATGGCGGTGGTGTTCCCGATGAAGGTGGAGGACATTTTCAAGCCTTTGGGCGGGATGTCGCAGACGGCCGTCTTCACGTTGTTCGGGATCCACTCGACGAAGTAGGAGCTGTTCTTGTTCTGCACGCTGAGCATTTGCTCGTCGACTTCCTTCATCGACATTCTGCCGCGGAACACCGCGGCCACCGTCAGGTATCGCCCGTGTCTAGGATCGCACGCCGCCATCATGTTCTTCGCGTCGAACATCTGCTGCGTGAGCTCCGGCACTGAGAGCGCGGAATACTGTTGCATAGATCTGGACGTTAACGGTGCGAAGCCCGGCATGAAGAAGTGCAAACGTGGAAACGGGACCATGTTGACAGCGAGCTTTCGCAGATCGGCGTTCAGTTGGCCGGGAAACCTGAGGCAAGTGGTCACGCCGGACATGGTCAGCGAGACCAGGTGATTCAAGTCGCCATAGCTAGGATTCGAAACCTTCAACGTGCGGAAGCAGATGTCGTAGAGAGCTTCGTTGTCGATGCAGTAGGTCTCGTCGGTGTTCTCCACCAGCTGATGAACCGACAGCGTGGCGTTGTACGGCTCCACCACCGTGTCGGACACCTTCGGCGACGGCATCACCGAGTACGTGTTCATTATCCGATCCGGGTATTCCTCGCGAATTTTCGAGATCAGCAACGTCCCCATGCCGGATCCCGTTCCACCGCCCAAAGAGTGAGTCAGCTGAAAGCCTTGCAGGCAGTCGCAGTTCTCGCATTCCTTCCTGACTACGTCCAGCACCGAGTCGACCAGCTCCGCACCCTCGGTGTAGTGTCCCTTCGCCCAGTTGTTCCCCGCGCCTGACTGCCCGAACACGAAGTTGTCCGGCCGGAACAGCTTCCCGTACGCCCCTGATCGAACAGCGTCCATCGTTCCCGGCTCCAGATCCAGAAGAATAGCCCTCGGCACGTACTTTCCCCCGTTGGTCGAGGTCGCCACTGCAACGTCATGCGTGATAATACCGTCAGCAAAAGAATACTTCCGTTTCGATTCTGATCCGTAAATGGAAGAGGCCGAACACGGGGCCGGACACGCTTCCAAAAGCAACGCGCCGCGAGCATCGTCCTTCATACTAAGCAACTTCGAAACGTCGAATTATCATTCTACCGAAATTCTGACGACCGAACGTCGCCACTAAAAACATGACGCAGCGCACCGTTTGAAAATTGTGCGCTACTCAATCACGCGACGATTTTTCACGGTCGGGTGGAGCATCTTTGCGTCCGATGTTTCGCGTCCAGGATGTCGGCAAGCCGAGCCTGGTGAACGGACAAAGCGAGGTCTATTTTCGTCGCGAAAACGCGCGTTCGTCGCTCTGTCGCTTGTTTTTTGCCACGTTCCAGCGTGTCGCATTCGCGCGGCCAGCTTCTATTTTAGAGCGCGCGAAATCCGCAAACCGCCCGATCGACTGTACAACCTTTCTTCTGCTGATCCTCTCGGCAATCGAGCTTCGCGATCGTTCGTTACCTCGCCCGATTTTTTTTTTGGACAGAAGAAAAGAACTGTGGAATTTTTCTTACCAGAAGCCTCGTTATAGTAAACGGAGATCCGCTCCAGTTGCAAATCGCTGTCCCCATGATAAATGCCCGATTGATCGATTCCATGCTCCTCAGAGATCACTTCCCAGAACTGTAACGTAAGCAACAGTGCGTGTTGAGAGAAAAACGTATCGTCATTATTGGCGAACGTCGGGAATTCGGACAGGATATTGCACGCGGTGACGCACATAAAACCCTAAACGTACTTATACGCGTTGAAGCTTGTTACGGCGTATGGCATCGAACGTGGTTTCGTGGAATCTTCATCAATTTCAGTTCACTCCCACGTCAGTTTTTCTTAATTAGTATCAAAACAATCGCTTGTTTCGGTAGACTGCGAATTTTTATTAACTTAACTAATACGTAAAATTTTTATTAACTTAAAATTTGTTTTCCATTGCTAAATATACAATACAGTAAGCACGTTACGTTTCACATGTTTAATCATTTAAAGTTGCATCAGATGTGTAATTTTTACAATTTATTAAATGCATTCTGCAGGTTTTCGTGCATTTCTAAATTTCTCACGAATGCATAAAGTAAACGCAACAGCAAAGTAAAAGTGGATGATAAATGGTGGCTCGTCTAAAAACGGTTAAACGGGAAAATTGATGGTGACTCTGTTCCCAACACGGAGTAGATCCGTCGAGTTTCAGCCTCCCTTGATCTACGTCGCTGCTGTTCTCCATTCGTCTCGCCCTCGCTATTTTCTCCTTCTTCTATTAATAGTACGTGCATATCGTGATTCTCTGGATGGTGCGTCGACCAGGAGGACGAGCGTCTCGTTTTCCCAAGCATTTCACGCGACTCGATTGCATCTTGAGCCGAGGTATACTCTAAATTGCCAAAGCCACGCGTCCAATTAGGATTATACTCGTTACGTTTTTCCCTTCGAGCGAGTACCCCTTTTGTTCGAGATGGAATTTACAGTTGGCCGGCTAACCGATCGTTTTCCGCATGGGAGAGCCTCGTGAAATCGTCTTGCAGGCGAAATACCCGGTGAAATACGGGTGTGATTTTCATTCATTCGTAAAGAGGAAATTAAGAGATCCGAAGGCTTTCTCACTGTCTTGTTGAGTCACCTAATTTTCATCGGTTCTTTCTGCGATCGCAAGTCACGCAGGGTTCGTTCTATTCGACTTTCAATTTTATGTTTTCAATTTTTGTGTTACAGATAGTTCCGAGGGGAGGAAAATTCCATTCATTCCAATTCTCTCCGATCCTGTATAAATATTTGAATAGTGATACAATGTTGCAAATAAGATAGAAATCACATGGATCTTTTCAATTAAATTGTAACATACAAAGCATCAGTATCAATTACAATATACAATGTAACATATATTATTAATTAATATAATAAAATTGTGTCTGAAGGTTCGCAGAGGCATCTTAGTTAAGTGATTTTAAGTAACATTGAGATATTAAAAGGATTAAAATATCTGCTTTTAATCACATACAAAGAGTTTATCGAAACGTCAACTATTTATTAAAAATGAATACAGAAGTGACACAGATATACAATTCTTGTTTCAGATTAATTTTAACTCTGCTAAAATTGCCTCAGTTATATCTAGAAAAAAATTTTTCTTTTTATGGAATCGCACTAGATATCCAATTATTTATGTACAGTAATGTATATAGAGAATATGTAGATATACATGCGTCGAGTTGTCGAACGATAGCGAACGGAATAGCTCTTTGTTACGATGAGATTGAAGTAAGAGACACTTTAAATTCCATCTCATTGCTCGCTGCCGCCGACGCCTTATCTCTAATTCGACTAAGAGTGTACAGAGAACCGGAAAGAGCGAGACAGACAGAAAGAAATTATACGTGTACATAGGTATGTTCGTGTATACAACATTCTATTTCGCATGGAATCGTAAAGAGAGGGGCGGATAAGTTGAATCGATTTTAGGGTAAGCTCGAAGAAAACAAGAAGGGAAGAAACGATAAGAAGAGCTCGGTCTTTTTTCTTTTTTTTTTTTTTTTATTCACCTTCTGACGGTGAAATTCCAACGCCAACAGCAATCCAAGAATCGGAAGATTAAACAACGAACTACTCTATCAGTAACTTCAGCATCACGTCGAACTTTTCAACAAACCTTTTAGCTTTCAATATCACAGAGCCTTTGAGTCGAATCACACAAGCCAACGCCTACAATGATAAGATAGGGAAATCAATTGTTCAAATCCGAAATTCGCTAATTGCACGTGAATCCTATCTTTAAATTATCTTTCAAGATAATCTTCTGTCATAATACTGTATTACATCGTATGATTGGTTGCACTTTATTTTTTATACGAATTGGATACGAAGAAATTAATCCTTTGGAGTCTCCATACGTGTATCGACACTGATCTCTCAAAAACTGTATTAAAATCTACTCTAACTTTCAATTATGAATATGTGTCACCTAGTCTTTCAACGTACGCATAACTTCGCACCTGAGTGATCCATTTTTCAATCAGACCCGTTGGCTCCAAAAATTTGTGAATGACACGAGTATGAAAAATTCGTCTCCAGAGGATTAAGTACGGGAAACTCGTGGGATTGTTAGTAAAACAACCTACCTTCGCACCGATCTGGTTGCCACATTGTCCAGCTTGCAGATGCACGATCTCCCTCATTTCGAAGCTGACGTTCCCTTCGTGAGCGAAGAAAAAAATAGGTGCGCCGGTTAAGTGAACAGCTCCGTTGATATCCTTCAACAGGGGAGAGAAAGAGAAAGAGAGAGAGGATAGACCCGCGACGAGGAAGCGTCCTCGGTGTGTGTGATGCCCGTTGCAGCGAGAACGTGTGCAGCGAACCGAGTGCAGACGAGTGTGTCGCGCAGGAGTGCAACAGTGGAGTGGAGCCTGCGGAACAAAACTGACGACGAAACGTGGCCGTGTCGGTGTCCTGAGGTCGACTCTCCGCTCGGTTACGCGATGCGCTTCTAGCTTGCCTCTACCGACCATACGGAGGGGGAGAAGATTCTCCAACCGGCGGTGGTACGTCGTACGAGTCGACGGACGCGACGTGATGACCGACAGGACGATATTTAGTGATGGGGATCTGACACGAGGACATGCATTCGAATCCATTTTCTCGAATCTCGAAAGTCTTGGTATGTCGTACTGGATATCTTGAAATTTCTTATCCATTCGTGCGAAATTGTAGAATGCGCATATACAAAAATATATAAAATATATTCAAAATGTAACACTTGTTACAATATTTAGTGGGTAAATTAAATTTTACATAAACATTTAATGTTTGAGTTATCGTGCTAATCAAATCCTATGGTAACTCTCAAGATACCCAAGATGATCAGACTTTTTTTCAGAATTTTAAGTTTCAAATCATATTCTAAATGATCCGAATTTATTCTTGTATGTGTTTTGAAACAATTCCAATCTCATCGAGCTACGGCGATAGTCAGTGGCATGTCTCAAGCTTCCAGTTTTTCTCTTCACTTAAGTTCTTATCCTTTTTCCTAATATTTTGAGACGTGCGATCTATCGATTTGATGATTTTACGAGCCTAAAAGGGGCATCGTGCAACGATGATTCACAATTGCGAGTTCAAAAAAGCAATCGTCGACCGAGAACCAAGAGCAGCAGGATATCCGGTTCGATGGACTCGAAGTTACATCCACCGGAAATGTAATTTGATCATGAGAGCGTCCTTCGCGACTACACAAGCTGCATTATTGGGTGAATAAAATTCGCGCGGAATTATTAGGTGAATTCCACGCGTTCTTCAAACATCGTTTTGAAAAGAAGAAAAAGCGAAAGAGACAGACCATTTCGTCTCGTGAATCATTCTTAAAAAACTCTAGCGTGTCACTCGCCTTTCTTGATTGTTATTCCCGTTGAAAAGCGCGACACGATAGCCGCGTCACATCGTCTCCAGCTGTGCTCACTACTGTCTCATGATCCCCTGCCGTTGTAAAAATCCCATTTTCTATTATTGTAACTCGCTCCCTCTTCTTCATCCCTGCCTTGTGGGCATGAACCTCATGTCTCTCCTTGCGTTCAACTACGGGTTCTGTTCCCAGTTACAATTACAGTCCGATGATGTTTGGAACGTATATCCGTATATCGATTCGGGAAACAATAAACGTTATCTTTGTCCTGATCTTCCTCTGTCTCGCGCAAAACGCGAGTTTCGCGAGATCGACGAGTTTGATCTTTTCGGGTGAAATAGACCGGTACGATCGATAAATCGAATTGGAGAATGGATAGAGCGGATAGATTCGAAGGATAGAGCGAAATATGAGTTACAGCAATTGGTAACCACTGTCTCGAGTTAGGTCGAATTCACGAAGCGAGACACCGCTTCGTATAGCCGGACGATGAGTCATACTTTCTTTACCGCGAGGTCGTTGTCTGCCGCCTTACAATTAGTCCAAGAAAATTTACCCCCACATTACGAATGCATCCTTTTGTTGACTCCAGTCAACGAACGAACCACCATTTTTTTTTTTTTTTTTTTTTGAGCGATTCTAGCTTTCCTGTCAACTGTGTTGCTCCAATGATAATATCGTCATCAAGCATTAGGAAATTCTGTAATCTTCTGGAGAAAATTCAACACTGTTTTCCAAGATTTTTAACGTATAAGAATTAGAACCCTTTGATCATGATAATGATCATGATTATACATAAGTTATATCTCAGTTTAATTTTGAGGACAGGTCTTACACTTTATTACTGTTATATTATGTATTTATAACAATAGTAAGAGTAATTTCTAAATCTACTTACCGATATCTACACACATAATTCTCTAATGTTAGTTCATCGTGTTCTAGTTGAATAGACGACAATTTAAGACTCGATCTTACTACGTGAAGATGTTCAAACTCATTCAATGTGATTAAACTGATTAAATATTTGCTTTGGAGCAGGTCACTTTTTTGATATTCATCGGAATACCTGAATCAAATATAATGATGACATACAATAACGATATACTGCCTACATTATGGCACATTGAATAACAAATATGTTCGCGTCTTGAGATTTTAGAACAGCATAGGACTATTAGTCAATTAACTCTGTTAACACAATATATTAAACAACGAAATTAACTATACATACCTGACAAATCAGATTAACTTCAACATTCTATCTCATGCCTTCAGAAGTGCTTTTTTTTTTATTTTAGTAAGTAGAGATTCGATAACAATTATTAAAAGAATTTGTGGTACCGCAAGCAAACGTATCGACCAAATTAATTTTTTTCATGATCTGAAAATATGGCGTAAAAGTATTATATCTATGAAAATATACCAAATATAAAAATTTTCTTAATTGTTTGACTTTGGTAAATAATGGTAAGTTTGGTATCAGTAAAGATACAGTGATTTCTTGTTCCGTATTTAATAAAATTATGTAAAAATTTGTGCAATTTATATTGAATGATTTCTGTTATATTTCTAATATTTTATTGTAAGAAAGAGTTCTTTGCCTATAAACTCTGTTCCAAAAAGTATATACGAGGATCAATTCTTGAATATATCGATCAATATATTGATATACATATGGACTCTCGATCTTCCAATTTAAATTGTTCAAACAATTTAAAACTCGAACATAAAAAGTGTATTGATAATACATGTATTGCTGCACCGGCAGAGATATCAAACGAATCGATTTTTCCATGGAGTATCAAATGCATATTGATTCGACATAATTTGATTTCATATAAATTGATAATGTATCAGTATTGACCATAATACATACCTAAAATTTCAATGTATATCAACGTATACTTCCTATTATGTGTTTTGAACTAATCTAATAGTATCTAAGCTTCGCTACAATGTTTATGGCAAAAGCCATAAGAGTGCTCCAATTCCATAATACTTAACTGTATTATACTGATCTGTTAGTCGACTGGCGAAACTCATGAATGCAGATTAAAACCATGTCATAATTGTCGTATCACATATACATATGTAAAATAGGAAACTTCATATTTCACTATAGTTTCAAAAAATTTTCAATGACAAACCAAATCGAATTCAATTTTTCTATTCTGTGTGATTAGTTGTCTAAAAAAATATGAAACTGAAAAAGAACGGAAATTTTAATTGATGATGATGATGAACACAATCATTAGATTGTTAATTTTCTTACCAATTATCCATATATTTTACATTATTACTTTGCTAAAATGTATATGTGATAATGAAATTAATTGTTTATATATATATATATATTATAAATAAGTAAATAAAGAAATAGATTATTAATTTCCTTCTTGTCAATTTTCGTATCTGCACATAAGAATATTAGAATAGAGGTCGTTCCAATCGTTTGATGATGATCGTTTCATTTCAATAGATGGCGACACAATCTGCAAGTTTTGACTAATGCTAATAATATCCTATCAAATAAACAAATAGTATACATTAATTTATATATATATGTATGTATCGAAACGTTGTTAATTTAAGAAATACTTTGATCTTAATTCTACAAAATCTACTGTATCAAAGACAAAGAAAAACAGAAGCAATATTCTCGCGTTCATACTATTCTTGTCTTTTTATGTATAGATTTTATAAAATTACAATTAAAATATCTACTAAACTAATAATTCATAGATTAATATTCTTTTTATAGAGAATGTCGAATTGCATCGATTAATGGAACAAAAATATTTCAAAAAATCGGAGATAACCTCGACTATCTCCGTAACCAAAATTGTTACGAATTTGCCATACTCCTACTGAATAAATTTTGCTTAAAAAAAATGTTTTATATCTTCAAAAATAAAGATATTTAAGATAAACATAGTTATTAATCCATCCAATGTGAATTAAAATATTTCAAATGTAAAAGAACAATGTAAAAGAACTTGTGCAAAATTATATCTCGAAACAAATTTCTATTTTTCGATAAAATTTCAATACAATTAAAACTCTATCTTCAATACACATAAAACTCTATCTTTTTCAAATTAAACATGCTCCAAAGCTCAATTGAACTTTGCATATATATTATAATATCGAATAAATTGGATATTTAATCATGATACCTCTCTTAGTACTCTGATGAATGATCTACTTTATTCAGATCTTTATCATAGTATAAAAGTCCATAGATGAGAGAACAAATATAAATACAAATATGCTACATTGTAGTTTCATAAATATAAAAAATGAATCACTGAACATGATAGTAGTATAGAATAGTGCGACAACAATAAGGGATTCTTATAAAACCGTACATTTATATGGTAATAATTTATTCAAAGATGATGCTGTCCGCATAAGCGGTTATACACTGAATACAAAGACGCGCCTCGCAAACTATATAATTCAAATAACCGAATATGGAAAAAAAGATTGACAAAAACGATTTCCTAATCAAATTATCCGAAGAATGCGAGTGTATGTGTCTATGTTTGTGGTGATATTGATGAAAAAAGCGCGCCTGAACAGACATCAGTAAAAAAGAAATTAAAAAGGGAGAGACAGAATAGGAAGAAACAGAAATAAACGCAGTTAAAAAGCAGTAGGAGAGCGAAGGACAATGATGGAGGGATGAATGATAGAGTACAGACAGTATGTGGAATAAAGTAGAGTCGATGTTTAATTTTCATCGACCTCTGCTTCCTGTTCCTCGTCGAATTCTGCATCCTCGTCGGCAGTGGCTTCTTGGTACTGCTGATATTCCGAGACCAGATCGTTCATGTTCGACTCGGCTTCGGTGAATTCCATCTCGTCCATACCCTCTCCAGTATACCAATGAAGGAAAGCTTTTCTCCTGAACATGGCGGTGAACTGCTCGGAGATTCGCTTGAATAACTCCTGGATAGCTGTCGAATTGCCGATAAAGGTGGCGGACATCTTCAAGCCACGAGGTGGGATGTCGCAGACGGCCGTTTTCACGTTGTTCGGGATCCACTCGACAAAGTAGGAGCTGTTCTTGTTTTGAATGTTGAGCATTTGCTCGTCGACTTCCTTCATCGACATTCTGCCACGGAAAATCGCTGCTACTGTGAGGTATCTTCCATGTCTTGGATCGCATGCTGCCATCATATTCTTTGCATCGAACATCTGTTGAGTGAGTTCGGGCACAGAAAGAGCTCTGTACTGTTGGCTGCCACGGGAGGTAAGTGGTGCGAAACCTGGCATGAAGAAATGGAGACGCGGGAATGGTACCATGTTCACGGCGAGTTTTCTCAGATCGGCATTCAACTGGCCAGGGAACCTCAAACAAGTGGTGACGCCAGACATCGTAAGGGAGACGAGATGGTTCAGATCACCATAGGTGGGTGTAGATAATTTCAGAGTACGGAAGCAAATATCGTAAAGGGCCTCATTGTCGATACAGTAAGTTTCATCTGTGTTTTCTACCAACTGATGTACAGAAAGCGTTGCGTTATACGGTTCTACGACAGTATCTGATACTTTCGGAGACGGTACAACAGAGTATGTGTTCATGATTCTATCGGGATATTCTTCGCGAATTTTCGAGATGAGCAGTGTTCCCATACCGGATCCGGTACCACCGCCCAAAGAGTGAGTCAGTTGGAAACCTTGTAAGCAATCGCAGCTTTCGGCTTCTTTCCTAACTACATCGAGAACAGAGTCTACCAGTTCAGCTCCCTCGGTATAATGACCTTTCGCCCAGTTGTTACCGGCTCCGGACTGTCCGAATACAAAGTTGTCTGGTCTGAATATCTGTCCGAAAGGTCCCGAGCGAACGGAGTCCATCGTGCCTGGCTCCAAATCGACGAGTATGGCACGTGGCACGTATTTTCCACCGGACGCTTCATTGTAGTACACGTTGATTCTCTCCAATTGGAGATCGGAGTCACCGTGATAAGTACCAGTTGGGTCGATGCCATGCTCGTCACTGATGATTTCCCAAAACTGTAACAAACGACAATTCGTAATTTATTAAGAATCACTTACACAATCCTCTGTGTTTTAAATACAAGACTCGAAAAAGAAATCCTATTTGGTACCAGTCAATGCTTGTACCCCCTCGATGTACCCTCACATCCGTTTTCAGTCTTCTGTATTATCGACCGAGAGGAACAGTTCAACGACCTCGTCGGCGAATAGCTCGCGTGTAATTAGTCATAATACAAGCAATCATTAAGGCACAGCCAGGATGGAAATTTTATCTTTTCGTTCTTTTTTTCTTTTCTTTTCGTTACGTTAAGGCGTAAATTTATGTATGTATGTTTCCTTTTCTGTGTATTGCAATGCAGATAATGAATCAATCATTAAAATGAAACTTTGTCAATGAAAATTAATTATGTCATGCTCCGGTATAAAATGGGGCTAATGTGCGAAAATTATTTTCCGAAAAAGATGCGTTAAATTAATAATAATTGTTTACTCCCATAAATATATTGTAACAATTGATATTTAATGAAATGTGAAGTTAATTACTGTCTAATAAGAGTATACGTATTTTCATGTTTTTTATCCATAAAAAAAGAAACACGAGACTCAAAATCGATTTCTTCTTTTAACTCTATTTAGCACAGCACGATTTACTTAAATCTCAAGGGATCATTATTCGTATTCGACCGTTGTCGACTAGTTGCTTCAGTCACGGACGAATACGCAATACGAACAGCGTGCAACGAAGCAATGCATGGCACAATCGTCTCTACTAGTTAACACACACAAATAAAACTGTGTACGCATCTCTCTTAACCGTAGTTCAAAGACCTTGCCAGCAGTATATTTCTGGAAATCGATGCGTTCTCAAAATACTAGCCAATGATGTAGACAATCTATTACAAAACATTTAATAGATAGGTTACTTTAATAGATAAGGAGCAAAACATATTCAATAATCACAGAACTATTAAGTAACAGATAAGATGTACAAACATATACAACGTATGTTCCACAATTTGGTGATGCAGCAAACTTTCATCATAAAATTGCATCGTAACTAAAAGTGACGTCTAAAAAGCAGCTTTAAAGCTATTCCTCCTTCTTTCTAATTGTTTCGAATCTTACACAACTGTGTAATAATTGATGTAATGTAGTGAATAACTGTGTGATAATAATTCTCTTTTAGATATTTCGAAACACTTTAGTTTTAATATATTTAATATAAGTACCTGATAGCTGGAGTCATGGTAATATCTGTAATACGCCTACGAAAACTGTAATGTCCTACATCAGTTTATTTAACCACTGCAATCATATATGACCGTCGTTAATAGGAAGCGAACATTGTCCACGTACAATTTTACTCCCACTACCGACCACAGAGAATGTTCATATATACAATATGCCGTAAGATGAGTCACCAATGTCATCGCTATATATAGGAATGATGACTGCAATACCAATCTTGTCCAATTATCATAAGGAGTTACAATCGATTTATATATGCATTCTGATTTCTACTTTAAGCTCTCTCGGGATCTACTTGTGTAACTTTGTAGTTGTGTAGTTGTTTTGCAGTAGGCATATGTAAATACATCTACATATTTCAGACGTCAAAACATTTATTACGCATTACGATAAGTACTATGATAAATATAATCAAATGAATTTTCATTTTTGCTATGATCATTAAGATTAGAAAGAACAAAACAACTTAACATTATAAATTATGATAAGAAGAATAAATTAGTTTAACAGTCGGTAAAGTCGGTAACTGCCGTTGATTCGTTTTAATTCTTTTTTGTAAATTTCGTTTCTTTATATATTTTTGGAATAAAAATTTCTCACACATACATTATCGATCGAGCATTGACTTTTTGGTGATGCACAAAATGGCGTCACTAAGGAATTTACACCCTGAAAAACGATCGATATATCCGGTTACTATCAGAGGCTGGCCAGTTGTTGCCAACATAAAATAAACTAAAACCGAGCGATGTAACGCCAGAGAAAATGGCGGAAGGATATCTTCTTTCTGTATTTGGAAACGTTTCACCACGCCACGTAATACATGATGTCCTTGGGTCACCAAGACCCCGAATGGGTAATTGTAACTATTGCACAATCATTCGGTGGTTGGTAAATCACGGAGGTCATAATTTACGTAAAATATTGACGAAAATATATTTTCAATAAAAGATCAATAACATTGCAGATTGAAGCGGATAATTTAGGAAGCGGACATTGACTCAATGAAACAACCTTGAAAACTATGAGAGCATAACTACATAATTACATTATTTGCTACACTTTTCACGAGTCAATAGTTATGACAGTTATATGACATGTACATATATGTATATTACATAATGTAACGGACTATGAATTTGTTTTTACATATAAAATATAAATATATACCATCAGTTTTTCATTTCGAAACTGATCTAAAGCATTAATCAATAAAAATTTGCAACTCCCTGTAATGAATAAGATTTTGCATTTCATAAAATACATTTTATATCTTAAAATAAAACGAGATACATATACGAATATACGACGTTCGAAAACGTAAAAATAAGATTTGAATACAGCGAATGAAAAGAGATGCGAACGAAGAATTACATATGTGTGTATATACGTACATATGTACGTCTAGAGAGAATGCCGATGATGAGAGAAAGAGACCGAGCGAGAAAGAAAGGAAAGAGATTGCGCGCGCAGCCGCGAGTTCGATTCCGTTGGCGCATCAACCGGTGTATCTCGACACACCGGATAGACCACGCCCAGGCTCAGAGATTAAGCAAAATATTTGAAAATTTTTAAATAGATGCTTGTTTTTCGTGTTTCTCTCTCGAAAAGTACACCGACATTTGCATTAAACGAAAAAAAGTAATACAAACATATATATATGTGTATGTGTGTGTATATATATATATGTTTACATGCTTGACGACAACGCTTCGTAAAAGAAGGCAGAACGAAAAGGAAAAAACCGTTAAGTATATACCAGCCGGCCGGCGAGAGGTTCTGTCGCCATGACAGGTCTTCGACCGAGCGAGGTTGCCGTTCTTTCGCGTACCACGTAGCTTGAGTGCGACACTTTCGTCCAAATGAATCTCCCTGCTATAATCTAACGGAATTAAAACTATTCCCTGATTCAATAGACCCCTAAACGAAGCAACGTACAGAAAACATTGATGCATAAATTAAACGAATCTCATTTTTTCGTCCATTTCTCTTCACTTTCTCCATTTATTTGCAACTAAATTCTATGTTAAAATTGACTTTAACAATAACTAAAGTTAACGGTAGACACGATCCTATGAAAATTACCACCAACTATAACGCCGCAAACAAAGAAGCGTTCAATTTCCACGCGGTCACAGATTCGATCATTTCGAATACTTTAGAATTTCGAAGACTCACCTTTGCGCCAATTTGGTTACCGCACTGGCCGGCTTGAATGTGGACGATTTCCCTCATGTTGCTTGGTAGGTTTTTGGACTTCTTCGAAGCTTCTTGTAACAATTGAACTAGCGACGAGATACACGATAACTCGTGACGAGAGCCCAGAAACGAATATGCCTCGGTAGCGGCGTCCGTTACAGATTTTCAAGCTTCTACAGGATTACGGGGAGCGAGGCAGAGAGGTTCAAACAACGTTTCTGATTGGACGATACTCGAGCCCCGCCACCTTTTCACCAGCCAGTGTCGGCAACGTTGCCAACTGCTCTAATGATTCTGCGCTCCAGCTTCTGCAGATATGACATCGTTAACAAAATTTCGATTCGCCAAAATTGCAGGCCAACGCTGTCAGCCTACGAATTCGACCTCTTTTTTCTCCAATACTCGCGAGATTTGTGTTTTTTTTTTTCTTTCTTAAATGGCGATCATTTCTAGGCTAGGAATTTAATCATGACTTCATTAGTCTAACGACAATTTTCAAACACTCGACTTTCTTATTTGCGAACTAATTAAATCTACACGTAATTGCAATTCTTACAGATAATCATATACTTAATTATATATTATAGTTAGGACGCCATTACCAGTTACTATCGAATAGAATTAGTTAATCTATTTTGCAATTATCCTATTAATGTACAAAATATCTCAATCCTTACAATATAAGCTCTTGGTTTAAACAAAATTGTGGCAGATACGTGAAAATTTTTTATCAACATATTTTCGACTAAAGCAAAATTTTTGACCTCGTTTTTTTAGTGGAATAATATTTGAGAGACTATGCGTACCTATCTTCTTCACCCTTAACTGATGATGGGTGTGCCTTAAACCCACCCTGGTTACCCGAAGTTGGCTGGGAGAAAAGTCGATACGTGACTCACCGGTGTAGTACACACCCATCCGAATATTGCAGATCTACTAAAAAATATATTACCCTCGAATACTTTACCGATTGCTATAGTAGAGTTGCTTTAGTTCTAATCAGCAGGACCTATTTCGAATAATATTCATACGAGACAGTATTATTATGCACTTGATATTACACATACCGGTGATTGCTTTTGAATGTTAATTATACATTTGCATCGTATATATGCAAAAGTTTATTAATGGACGATATGTTTAATATGTGAGTAAAGTCTAAAGATATGTGCGTGCATATAGAAGTAGCTTTATAAACAGGAGAGAAGAACGAAAGGCGAACGAATGGCGACAGGAGAGCAGGTAGGGTGGATTACGCGTTGCAACGCGTAAGCCAGTCTTCTCACTGTTACCATGTATGGATCACTCGCTCTTCGTTTCGAAGGAAAAAAATCAGCCATGATAGTGTACACGCCCGCGCATCTCAGTGTATGTGTATCGTATATTCGCTTGCACGTACTTACTTGAGAGTACGCGCAAACACTGTCTCGCATAGATGGACACGCATCGTAGTACATGAACATAACGGACCTGCCAATAACGGAGGATCATATTTATTATCAAGGTAAATTCTAATTGAGAGTTCGGTTCATATATGCAACTTTTAATCTACCTTTCTTCTTCTCTCTCGTTAATCTGAAAACGTATTCTCTTGACTGGGAATCCGATAATCTATCATTGGTTGTGTCGATGTTCTTCTATGCGCTAGTATTGGGAGCAACGAAACTGTAGTAGAATATATCGGTCATCGATCAGACTTCTATCTTATACGTCATGATACATAATGATAAATCTTTCCCAAAGACTGAGAAAGAAGGATAAAATATACAATGATATGTGCGATTGGATATCACGTGGTCAATTCGGGCGATACGACAATGCACCATTCTAATTATCTTTCGTTAACCATACGATTAAACGAATCTGCGAGTAGGAACGTTAGCTGACATCACGTCTAATTTAGGCGAGACGAGAGCAAGAAATTCATGCGCATGTCCCTGTGTCGATCAAAATGAAATTTCCGCATCCTTTCTATTTATTACGGTCAAAAGACGACAGGATCTTCTCGAGTTGAACTTTCACTTACAATTTTAGCTTGAAACATTCGTTCGAAATTAATTGTTCACAATCAATTTATCTGCTTTCACTATGAGATAAATACCTAGAAAATCAGAAATCAGATTGCAGAAAGTTTTTAAAAGATATCTCATATCAAAATGTTGTATTTTATACATGATAAGGATGAATCATGAAATTTTGTTTCAATGTTAGTAAAGGTTGTCCCTACTAGTCACGATATTTTATATATATGTTAGAAAGGGTGATTATGAGTCATATATGCTATCGAGCTTCGAGAAGGTAGACAGTTTCTCTTTTCCTACGTTATATTTTTTATAACGAATAATTTGTATTTGTAAAAAGTGCACATATATAAATTGCTGGTTAAAATTCAAAGAAAGGAAGAACTAGTACTCTATTTTGTCTAATTGAACGATATACTTGGTTGTTGATCGCACAAGCAAAAGAAAAAAAAAAATCGTACGCGTCATTCATGCGTTTCAAAGGTAATATACCATTGGTGATAAGAATGATAAAGACAAGTCGAAAGAATCGAGTCGGAATGACGCGACAGTCGGACCAAACCTTGCCCCGCCTCAACTTTTATTGATCCCAAGGACGTCGTCGAGTACGACAAATACGTCTAAGTGTTTCCGCAGTTACGTTTCATATAATATTTCTATGTCGATGTGTCTCAATTACAACAAATACGTTAATCTTGGAAGTGATATATTTCTTACAATTAGCATTCGTAGCATTTTCAACGAAAGTTGAAAAAGTTGCTGCTGCAGCTGTTGCTTGTTTCAAAAAACTTCAAGAAGCCATCGAATAGTTTTCCAAGAAAAAAAAACCGGTGTGGGTGGTCAAGTTGTATCGAGGACAAGATTTTGATGCACGACCACTTTCTCAAGTAATCTCAAGCAATACAGGTTTGAAAACGAGCAACAACGGACCCGCAAGTTGCCGTAAATGGTATCGTTTTCTACTTTGGACAGAGTTCGGGTACATCGTGGCGAAGCTGTGGATCAAGGGAACCACCTCGATAACGGTAGCTTCGAAATCTGATTCTGAGTCATCTGGTCGTTCTTCTCTATCTCCCCTTCCATATCTTTCCCCTTCTCTCAACATTTTCAATTCAACTCTTTCTGTATTGGTTTTCGTACTTCTCATTTCTTGCATATTTCATTTTATATTCGTTGAATATTGAAAAAGGCAGCAGTTTTTATTGGTAACACGTAGCTTTTGATCACATGTCAGATAAAACTCGAGCAAGATTCAATTTACTGTTGATAGTTAACGTGCTGTGTATCAAACAACATGACGTACAGAAATATAAAACAGAAAATTAAGTTTTGCTAAATAATAACGATGTATCGAAAACAGAGAATATTCAATTTTCCTACAGTCTGGTTATTGAGTAACACTTTGCGATGATGTCATCGTAACAAGTTGTCACGTTTCCAAAACGGGCGAAACATTTGCATATTCGACTTTTACTTGTATTTGATTGAAACGAGACTATTTGTTATTGCAGGCGAACAAATTTTCTGTTTGCTTAGATAGTTTTTGTTTAGATAGATGTCCACTAAAGTACAAGGTTACGATAGAAATAGGATCATACTTTTCAAAGTATTCTATTTAAATGTTACCTAGTCTCTACCTATAGTAGCAGATAGTTATTTTGTTCTTCCAAATGTGCATTTAAAAGGTATTTTCAAAACATCGATAGTTGTTAAAATATTTGCTACAGAAAGGGAACGCAATAGGAGAAAGAGCGTAAAGAATAAGGAGAGGTTCACACGATCGAATCGAGAAGCAGTCTGTCCATGTTTGGATACGTCCACTGCATTTTATATGTCACCTTTACTATCCGTTTGCTTTTATTACTTATAACGATTGAACTTATGTAACGTAGTTCCTGACATAACTTTATACATCCAGAAAGAAGGGTGGTGAAGGTGATTTAATAGATATCGTACATCGATAATTATTTGTTTGATTGTAGTTTATTGCCA